ATCTGAGCCTTTGTGCTAGCCCTGTTATGCCCTACCACCAGACACATTGTTATTTAAATAAATAACAAGATAAACAAGCCCCTATCTTAACCTTGCAGTTATTGGGACTTACTGCATTCCTGATGCATTTGTTTTCAGTGCGCTGGCATTCATAGGAAAGCAACTCTCGGGGCACCCCTTTGGTCCTTGCCTCCTTCTCTAAAGTATGCCTGTCACTACATTCCTGCCCACACCCCATTGTCAGAGAGTGTCCACCACATTCCCCACTGGGTGAGTGGTGGACCATGGCCATACCTGATTGAGCCAATGAAATTAACCTGACCTAACCACTTTCCCTCCCTGACAATTTCAACTCAATCCAGAAATTTGCATTAGAACATAGAAATTAGTGTTTGCAGCCTGCTGTGGCCCCAGGAAGCTTTCCTTTGGTCAGGATAGTGCTTTTCTAGATTTTTGAAAAACATCAAGTTTCCCCAAGATAGCTGGATATCTGACCTCTCTTGAGATAGTGGAAAATCTGGCATCACTGGGCTCATATTCCACACGGCAATAAATGGCTGTTGCTGGCAAGTGGCTGCTCCCTCTAGACAGGCACATACTCACACACTTTCCATAGTCCCTTGGGAGAGCTTCCCTTGGGACTATGGAAAATGTGTGTGCCTGTGTTCATATACATGGCTCCTTTTCATCATCCCTGTTGGCTCCTGTAGGCATTTAAAGTTTAAGATGCCTGCTCTACGTAGTCTCTATAAGTCCCCAAACCATACTGATAATAACGCTGATAATGAAGATAACAATAGCAACAATTACTGATGGTTCCCTAAGTAGTTTGGTGAGGGCTTTACACATGTTGTGTGATTTCATCCTCAAAACAGAAAAACCCTACTACTGTCCTCATTGTACAGATGAGGAAACGGAGCCCAAAGGGGATCAGTAACTTGACCAAAACCTTGTGGTTGGTGAACTGCACATCTGAGATTTGAATCCAGGCATTCTGACCTCCAAGTGGGTGCTTCCTAAACAATAAGCTATAATGCCTTTCCATGAATTAAGACAAAACCACAGCTGGAAAGAAGAATGTGGGAGTTGTATTGAGAAAGACAGAGAAAGAGATAGATAGGTAGAGAGAAATTAAGGCACCAAAGTGGGAGGCAGAGTGAGTAGCTGCATTGGCCCCAGTTTTCTATTTCCCTGTGAAGCCTAGTTGCAATCCACATTCGGGTTGCAGGCAAACCACCAGTTGGGATTCATAATGCAAACAACAGAAACTGACTGTGGTAGATTTAAGCAGGAGAGGAATCCATAGAAAAGATACCAGAGAGTTTTTGGCATTGCTGGGAAGGCTGAAGAACCAGACCTGGACACCGCAATGGCAGAAACACAGGGCCTGTGAGGACCCTGCTGTCCCCAGTGCAGAGTACCAGACCCTTCCACTTGCCTCTCTGATTCTGCTAAAGCTCCACATCTGGATGCTAGGAACAGTCACTGGCCCTACCGCCTGGGCTGCCCCAGAGACAGGATATTGCTGCTTCTATGGCCACCACCACCAGACTGGGCCTCTCCACTGTCTCTATGTCTTTTTTTTTTTTTTTTTTTTTTAAGATTTAGGTGGAAGTTTTTGTTTTTTTTGGTTTGGTCTGGGTTGGGTTGTTATTGTTGTGTGGTGTTGTGTGTTTTCTTTTGTTTAGAGACAGAGTCTTGGCAGGGCACAGTGGCTCACGCCTGTAATCCCAGCACTTTGGGAGGCCGAGGCAGGCGGATCACTTGAAGTCAGGAGTTCAAGACCAGCCTGGCCAACATGGAGAAACCTCGTCTCAACTAAAAATACAAAAAGTACCCAGGCATGGTGGTGTGTGCCTATAATCCTAGCTACTCAGGAGGCTGAGGCAGGAGAATTGCTTGAACCCAGGAGGCAGAGGTTGCAGTGAGCCAAGATTGTGCCACTACACTCCAGCCTGGGTGACAGAGCAACACTCCATCACAAAAATAAATAAATAAATAAAATTTAAAAAATAAAAAAATAGAATCTTGCTCTGTTGCCCAGGCTGGAGTGCAGTAGTGTGATCTTGGCTCACTGCAACCTCCACCTCCCAGGTTCAGGTGATTCTCCTGCCTCAGCTTCCCAAGTAGCTAGGACTATAGGGCGTGCCACCACACCTGGCTAGTTTTTTTTGTATTTTTTAGTAGAGATGGGATTTCGCTATATTGGCCAGGGTGGTCTCAAACTCCTGGCCTCAAGAAATCCACCTGCCTCCGCCTCCCAAAGTGCTAGGATTACAGGCACGAGCCACCATGCCCGACACTGTCCTTATGTCTTTACATCACCAACTCCTCATTCAAAGTTTAGTTTATGCCTCTGACTGGCTGAGCCTAGGTCACATGCCCAAGCCTTAGCTGCAAGGGAGGCTGAAAAGCAAATAGTTAGCACTTCCACATTCTATGTGGGGAAGTGAGCTCTACTTCCCACCAAGACTCATATGATGGGAAATTCTCCAGACGTGAGTATGCGTTTCTGAGGCTGGACAGCCAAAAGGGACAATTATCCATAAAAATCCACGGTGTCTCCTTTTCAATAAGCTAGCTCAAGTGATTAGCATTTAGAATTGCATCAAAAAAGAGAGAACACTCAAGTGGAGTGATCAAGGAAAGTATTTATTTATTTATTTTATTTTTTGAGACAAGGTCTCACTCTGTTTCCCAGGCTGGAGTGCAGTGGTTTGATCACAGCTCACTGCAGCCTTGACCTCTCAGACTCAAGCGATCCTCCTGCTTCAGCCTCCCAAAGTTCTGGGATTACAGGTGTGAGCCACCCTGCCTGGCCAGGAAAGTATTTATAAAGTTGTAAGAATGGTTAAGGGAAGCCAACAGGAATGGGGGAAGCACCCCATAGACTGCGACTGTTGAGGGGGGTACATTATGGGGCAGGGAGAAGGAGTGCTTCCATGAATGTGGAAAGAGCTGGAGTTGCGAAAAGGATCTTCCATGATGGTTCCAGTCCTCGGCCCCAGTGGAGGGGGATCTGGGTAAATAAATACCCTCATTTCTCTCTTCTTCCATCCTCTAGTATCCTCCATGTGTCTCCCATTGGGCAAACCCAATAGAAAGTCAGGGAGTAAAGAATCCTTTTGATATATTCCATTAAAGTGAATCTCTGGGGCACAGCACCACTGGTGGAGAAGGTGAAGGGTAGATCTAGAGGACTAAACAGAATAGCTAACAACACATGGCATGATCCCTGTCTTTCCATTGAGTCACTGTAAACTGGTTTTTCCACTTTAATTGAAAGACTCTGGCATTTTGTGGTTCTCCCAGAACTTTCCAACTGGCCACCTCTGTCATCTCCTCCTTTTTGGTCTGACCTGTTAGTTTGTTCCTATCTATAAGCCTGCATTTGAAGGTCACAGCCTTTGGTTTCCAAAAAGCAGAGGCTTTTCTATGTGGTCATAGGGAGTCTCCTTTGCTGCAGGTGAAATCAATTCTCCACCCAGGTCCCCAAATTCTGATTTGACAGCTCTCCTGGAATTTTGCCAAAACAACTTGCCTCTGTAAGGCATAAAATGTCTTCCCATATTTCAAGAGCTGCCCTCGTGGGGTTCTTTCTTTCTTGGAGACGGAGTCTCACTCGTCGCCCAGGCTGGAGTGCAATGGTGTGATTTTGGCTCATTGCAATCTCCCCCTCCCGGGTTCAAGAGATTCTCCTGCCTCAGCCTCCTGAGTAGCTGGGATTACAGGCACCTGCCACCACACCTGGCTAATTTTTTTGTATTTTTAGTAGAGACAGGGTTTCACCCTGCTGGCCAGCCTGTTCTCGAACTCCTGACTTCAGGCGATCTGCCCGCCTCGGTCTCTGAAAATGCTGGGATTACAGGCATGAGCCACCGCGCCCAGTCTGTTTCTTTATCTTTCAATGCCTCACTTGGTCTCTTTTTTCTCTCACGACCTGATTTGCCAGCCAAATTTTATCCTAGCTTTCCGCATTCCCTGTTGAGTGATCATCTCTCCATGACCCAGATCTCAGTCTTTCTCTCTCCAAAGAACTACAAAGAACATTGTGTCTATAACTTAACTGCAGTTTGGTGACTCTGTTGCCAGCATGGCTTGAAATGGTTCTTGCTTAGACTTTTTTTTTATGGTAATGCAGTATTTTATTTATTCTGTTCATTAACAATACATGAGAGCACTTACAATATTCATTGAACATAATCTAAGAGAAGATCAACTTACATTTTGTACATCTCTATTAATACGAAACGGTTGAATTAATTTATGGTCAAAATTATGATGGCAAAAACTTATAAATAAATAAATGCTTGGTGTTAGTGTGTCTGGAATTTATTTCTTCCAGTGGGTTCTTGGTCTCACTGACTTAAAGAATGAAGCCGCGGACCTTCACGGTGAATGTTACAGCTCTTAAGATCTTAAAGATGGTGTGTCCAGAGTTTGTTCCTTCAGATGTGCCCAGAGTTTCTTCCTTCTGGTGGGTTCGCAGTCTCACTGACTTTAGGAGTGAAGCCGCAGACCTTCACAGTAAGTGTCACAGCTCATAAAGGTGGCGCATCTGGAGTTGTTTCTTTCTTCCCGTGGGTTCCTGGTCTCGCTGACTTCAGGAATGAAGCCGCAGAGCACAGCCTCATGGTGAGTGTTACAGCTCATAAAGGCAGTGCAGACCCAAGCAGTGAGCAGCAGCAAGATTTATTGTGAAGGGCGAAAGAACTAAGCTTCCACAGTGTGGGAATGGGACCCCAGCGGGTTGCCACTTCTGCCTTAGGTGGCCAGCTTTTATTCCCTTATTTGGTCCCGTCCACATCCTGCTGATTGGTCCATTTTACAGAGTGCTGATTGGTCTGTTTTTACAGAGTGCTGATTGGTGCATTTTCAAACCTTTAGCTAGACACAGAGTGCTGATTGGTGTGTTTACAATCCTTTAGCTAGACAGAAAATTCTCCAAGTCCCCACCGGACCCAGAAGCCCAGCCAGCTTCACCTCTCATTAGCATGGCCACATACATTTCAGTTTTTGGTGTAAAAGTCTTTGGCTGCAAGAAATAACATTTGGTTTACTTCACTAGTAGAAATAACTCTTAATGCTAGAATGGCCACCTCTTGGTATTTCTTCTGCTGTTGATTTTTAGCATAGTTGTCTGTGATTGTATGAATGGATTTGAGTGAAGGGGTACTCATCATGTTAATCCCAAACAAGAGCACATAGTCAATTACTATAGTAATAAGGAGGTAGAGAGATAATGCAACTGTCCAATGTTTTTGAGGCCAATAGGTTAAACCTAAGGAGTTTAGCCAAGATTCAGGAATAAAAGCCCACACGAGGTAAAGTATGAAGCCAAATTGGGAGCTTAAGAGAAGCACAAAGTCATAAATCGCTCTTCCTGGCAGCAGTGAATTTTCCACCATTTTTCCTGGGGCTTTAGACAGTCTCAGCGCTGAGTTCCCTGCGCAAGCGCCGACTACGAAGCCCCAGTGCGGGAGTGGGGTGGGGGAGGGGTGGGGAAGGGGAAGAAGAAAAATTGAGGGAAAGGCCTAGGCGCGAAGGCTCCTCCCACTCAGGCACAGGCGCACGAGGACCCTCCCCCTGGGTGGGAGCCAGCGAGCGGCTCTTCCCTAGGTTTCTGATGGGAGAAGCTGTTTCTCCTCATCCCTTAAAGTTTCGAGTGGATGACCTAGATAAATGAGCAATGAAACTATGACGACTAAGTTCAAAGGAGTGACATTTAGCATTGTGATCTTCTAAAATCTGTACAAGTTAGGCGATGCATTTAGTAAGTGATTATAAATATTTAATGTATACATATATAGCAAGTGACAAGCGTTTTATCATAAGCATTAGCATTCTTAGGGAGAGGTGGCAGTCGAGTGGACTGTGATGTTTGGCACAGGCACCCCTCCTCCCCCACTGAGGAATGAAGGATTTATTCCACCAGCTACTGGGAGAAGTGTTGGCAGATGATTCTTGGCTGTAAGCCCTCTTTGGGAATTTCCTTGGCTGCTGCCTTTTCAGGGCAGTCTGCATAAATGATTGATCAGCTTGGGAGCTTAGAGGCCTGGTCCCCTTACCTCTACTCAGGACAACTTGGAAGACCTATTCCAGTTTCAGAGGTCTCCATGAGGTCAGTGGAAGCCTTTGTTCGGACATTGCACTTCAATTTCTCCCTCTGCTCCATCCTGCTTCCTTCTCTGCTCTTCCCCTGCTGTTGATCCCAAGAGTGCTCCCTGAGTAACTTCCTGCATGTTAATCTCCATCTCAGAGTCTGCTTCCCAGAGAATCCAACCCACAGTCCTCCCATCCTCCTTGTTTCCAGGCCCATTGGAATGTGACTTTGCAGCTTCTCCAATCAAGAGATGGAGTTTATTTTTTGACATCTTGAATCTAAGCTGGCCTGTGACTTGCTCCGGTCAATAGAATGAGGCAGAGGTGACATCGTGCCAGTTCTGAGCCTGAACCTCCAGAAGCCTTGCATGCTGCTTCTGTCGCTCTTGGAGTCCTGCTGCTACTGTGAGAACAGGCCCTGGCTAGCCTGCAGGAGCAGGAGAGACGAGTGGTCAAGTCACTGCTGTTGTCCCAACTGACAGTCAACCAATCCCTGAAGCAGAGTCACCTGGCTAACCACAGTGCCTGAATGAACCCAGCCAAGACCAGAAATAATACCTAGCTGAGCCCAGCCGAAACTGCTGACCCAGAGATTCATGAGCTAATAAGTAGTATTGTTTTAAGACAGTTAAGTTTTGGGGTGGGCTTGCTACGTTGCAATCCTTAACTGACACAAGAAGGAACTGTGTTTGAGGAACCACAAACTGGAGGCAGGAGCACCATGCCCCTAGTAACAGAAGACATGATTAAGAGCTTTCCATGAGAAAATGGGAGGAATTTATTTTTTGCCCCTGCGAAGAAGGTAGAGAGAACAGAATGGAGGTAGGAGCATTAAAAGTAGGTAAGGAGGAGAAGGTTGCCAGCCAGAAGGTAAACGACTGGGAATAATACGAGTTGAAGCAGCAGGTGGAATTGCTTGGTGGGTCTATGTCCATGTAGTGAGGGCGGCAGAGAGACTTGTTTGTATTTCTTAGATATAATCTCTTCTCTGTTTACTTGCATCTCATTCCAATCTCTTTACAAAAACGGGAACCAGGCCAGGCACGGTGGCTCACACCTGTAATCCCAGCACTTTGGGAGGCTGAGGAGAGCAGATTGCCTGAGCTCAGGAGCTCAAGACCAACCCGGGCAACATGGTGAAACCTCGTTTCTACTAAAAATACAAAAAATTAGCAGGGGCATGGTGGCACATGCCTGTAATCCCAGCTACTTGGAAAGTTGAGGCAATAAAGTGAGACTCTTGTCTCAAAAACAAACAAACACACATTATTGCATAAAAAAGCAACTTGCAGAAAATGGAATATAATAGCATTATAAAAGCACATAAGGCAAACATTTATGGATACATTTTATGAGTAAAAGTATAAAAACAAGATTTGGAAAGACAGACACCAAATTCCCTATGGTGGATTCCTCTGGGAAGGAAGACGTACGTAAGATAGGTCACTTTTAACCCTATTAGATTAAAAAAATCAAAAGCCAATCTTGTAAAATAATAACATTAAATTCAAAGAGTTGGAGGGCGTGGGTATTTGTTAGACAGCTCTCTGTTTCTTCTGTATTTAAGATTTTTACCAACTGAGAAAAAATCCAATTATACCCATGAATGCTTTTGGTTATTTGTCTGAGTGTGTGGCTGAGTTTCACATCTGGGTCATAGAGATTCATGCCAGAATCAGGACCCCAGAGGCAATGTTACCAAGCATGTGAGTCCCCTAGGGTCTCCAGACTCTTGGCAAGGGCTCTGTGGACGTATAGGCCTTGGAAATTGAATCTGAGTCCATGTTACTGAGCTTGCCTATGGTGAGAGACCCTGGGGAACATCTGGGTTACATGTATAATTGTTACAGGCACTGACACCACGGGTAAGCAGATCACATATGTTAAACAAATGGTAAACAAAACAAAACAGAACCTCTTCTCTCTTTGCTAATTTCCCAGTGTCTATAATCAGGCTTGCGATGGATAGTTTTCCCTGATACTATATATGATCCCACACACAATTAAAGGAAAGTGTCTGGAAATGAGAGAGCTGTGAGTATTAGTTGATGAAAGAGGCAGATCTGAGCAGAGGAGCTGCTGATAAGAATGAAGAAAAGACCCACACTAAGAGGGTTCACTGATTCTCCCGGGTCTCAGCTCAGGACCCGAGCTCGCTTTGGGTGCCTAATTCACACTCACCTACTGTCCCTCTGGCTACATGTTCTCTCCAAAAACTCTAAATGTAGCCATGCTTCCCTTAGATTCCTGTGCTAGGCACCATCTAGCCTAGACAAAGCTGACTTTGAGTCTCAAACTAGCTGTGTGATCTCTTTTTGAGATGCACTCTCACTCTGTGGCACAGGCTGGAGGGCAGTGGCACGATCTCTGCTCACTGCAACCTCTGCCCCCGGGTTCAAGCGATTCTCATGCCTCAGCCTCTCAAGTAGCTGGGACTACAGGCCTGTGCCACCACACTCAGCTAATTTTTTATATTTTTAGTAGAGATGGGGTTTCATCGTGTTGTCAAGGCCGGTCTTGAATGGTCTTGAACTCCTAACCTCAAGTGTTCCACCAGCCTCGACCTCCCAAAGTGCTGAGGTTACAGGCATGAGCCACCACACCTGGCCTAGCTGTGTCATCTTGAACAAGTCACTGAACTCTGTTGAACCTCAGTTTTCTCACCCATAAAATACTGATTCTAATCCTTGCCTTCCCCCATAGGACTGTTTTAAAAGCATTCAATAAAATAATGGACATTACAGGGGACTTGCAACCTGTAAGTTTGTATATGGAACAGTTGTAAACTATTCCTCAACTGTAGATAGCAACTGCTATAGATTGTTTTATTTATTTATTTATTTATTTATTTAATTTATTTATTTTGAGGTGGAGTCTCACTCTGTCACCCAGGCTGGAGCGCAGTGGCGTGATCTCAGCTCACTGCAACCTCTGCCTTTTGGGTTCAAGCAATTCTCCTGCCTCAGCCTTCCAAGTAGTTGGGATTACAGGCCCATGCCACCAAGGCCAGCCTTTTTTTTTTTTTTTTTTTAGTAGAGATGGAGTTTTACCATGTTGGCCAAGCTGGTCTCAAACTCTTGACCTCAGGTGATCCACCCACCTTGGCCTCCCAAAGTGTTAGGATTACAGGCGTGAGCCACTGAGCCCAGCCATATTTTATTATTATTATTATTTTTATTTTTTTTTTTTTTTTATTTTATTTTTTGGAGACAGAGGCTCCCTCTCTCTCCAGCCCAGGCCAGGGTGCAGTGGCGCAATCTCAGCTCACTGCAACCTCTGCCTCCTGAGGTTCAAACGATTCTCGTGCTTCAGCCTCTCAGGGTAGCTGGGACTACAGGTGTGCACCACCACTCCCAGCTAATTTTTTGTATTTTTAGTAAAGACAGGATTTCACCATGTTGCCCAGGATGGTCTCGAACTCCCCAGCTCAGGCAATCTGCCCACCTCAGCCTCCCAAAGTGCTAGGATCGCAGGCATGAGTCACCGCATCTGGCCCTCTTTTATTTCTTTAAATTAAATCCTAAAGCCATGAGAGCAACGTTGGAGAGTCCAGGAGTGCTATTGTTGCCGAGTCACTTCCCGTCCAGTAGAAGCTGCTGTCACATGATGACCCTCCTACCTCCTTGAGTACTGCTGGCCTAGGCTGCAGCAATGGTTCCCTATTTCCAGGTCCCAGCATGGACCATTGTGGTCCTTTGACAGAGTTCCGCCACTGCTCTGGGGCCATGTTTAACACTAGGTGCAAGGCACAGCTCTTGTACCCTATCAACCATTCTCTTCTGGAGTACAGATGCCCAGGAAGTTTTGTGCCAAAGCTATTTAGATATCCTTCCCTTATGAAAACCACAATTATTTTTTCCCTGTTTCCAGCCTAAAGGTTGGGTCAGTTTCCTCTGGGGATGGTGGGGGTAGCAATTTTAAAAATACAGAATAATGTGAAGAAAAAAATAATCTATATTTCACCATGGCCTGTCTTGGCATGTTTTCTTCCAGTCATTTAGAACCTGAACTCTGTTGTTTCAGGGAACTGATACAACATTATTATGAAGAATTCAAATAATAAAGGAAAGGGTGAAGGTGATAGTAGAAAAAAAATCATATTTTGTGGTCTAGAAATTACAAGAGATGTGCATTATTTGAAACGTCTTTGTGCCAATATAAAAGTAGGAGGATGAGATAGAAATATTTTATTAAAAGGAGATTATATTATAGGTTCAAATTTTAATTAAGAAATGTTACATTTTATTATAATTTACTAGACAAAAAAAGAACTGGAGAGAAACTAAAGGAATTGTTGAAAGTCAAACAAGTATTTCTGTACTTCAAGAGATAACTTTTTGAAATATCCCTCTAAATTTATAAAGGAGAG